CACTACTCTCACTATGTCTCCCTGTATGCGCTTATTCTCCTAATGGGGAATTACCTCAACACTCTTTATGTATTTATCAGGTTGTTCAAGATGATGTTTCCTTTCTTCTAAATGTCTTGAGATTACATCTTTTTCCTAATAAATCCTTTGAGATCTGTAAAACTTTGAGTTTAGGGGATTTGTGACAATGTATGTTTTTGTTTCAATGCACCCAGCTGCTCTGATTTCAATGCACCCTGTATTGCAGCTTTGGAAGCTGTAGTGATTCATGCAGGATTGCATGATTACAATTTTAAAATTACAAAGTAATTTCTTCTGAAATTCTCTCTTAAAATTTGATCATGTGATTGGCAGGGGAAGAAGAGTTGATACATCTAGTCACATAGCTCCATGCAATGCAGCTTGCAGTTATTTCATTTTGACCTTTCTATTTGCTGGAATCATAGCCTGGAATTGATTGGGAGGGTGACAGAAGCTTCATGAGTTCATAGGAACTGATTCAACAAACCTTCCTGTCCTTTCTTTTCCTCTCTGTATTAACAAAATAAAACAAGTGGCTAGTTTCTTTTTCAGACATATAAAGCAATTCATATTACTAAACCCTAAATAAACAGCTAAAGAACAGCAATAGTTAAGCAAGCCTTCCACTCCCATCTCCTCCCCACCTATCTTTGTGGTGAGTGTAGTGAAGAAACATTTTAAAAGTTAACTCTTCCACTCAATAAAGCTTACAATGTTATTATTGCTGATTTTAGATTTCTTTCCTACTTAAAGTTAATTATTATATAGCTGGGTGTCTCCCTTGTGCTGACATAATACGGTCTTCTTCTCTTCAACCTCTCTTGTAATGTTATTTATTTATTTTTGGAGTCTGCTCAACTCCAAAAATGACTCTGGGCAGTTTCAGAAAATTAAAAACAGAGGAAACATATATATAAAAAACACCAAAAGTATCCTGAAGGAACAATTAAACAAAATCTTCACATTACCACAGAGGATCCCAAGAAGAGCCCACCACATGAGGCCAAAGCCATGTTTTGAGGAGTTCTGTTGAAGGTGGATAAGGTGGGAGTCAAGTCAATCTCAAGGGAGGATGCTATTATAGAGGGCGGGCATAGCAATAGGGAAAGACTATTTTCTGGGTCCTGCTAGATTATATTTCTTAATCAACAGGACCCGAAGCATGCCACTATGTCATATTGTACAACACAGGTAAAAACCATGGAAGATAGCTTGTCATATGACATGCGGGGCTTTATAGGAATAAAATCACCATGAACTATACCGAGAAGTTTCCTGGTAACCATGGAAGCTGATGAAGCAGATAATACAGGGGACTAGGGAGCACTGGCCATCAGTGCTTATGTTATTGCATTCTGGACCAGTTATAGTTTCTGATTGATTTTTAATCATTGTAATAGTCCAGTTGCAAAGTGATCAAATCATGAATGACCACAGCTGCCATCTTCTGCTCAAGTAGGAGCGGGGGGTTCCAGGAAGACTCCCCCATTATGCACTAGTCCAGAATGGGAGAATGCTACTGCATTTAGAGCCAAGGATGGAAAGTTCCCAGAACTAGAAGATCCAAAAATCCACAGCCCCTCAATATTATTATGATTGATGTGCATCTGTTCCTCCCCATGCACACCCTGACTTGCTTAGCCGGGTGTCGAGATTTATTTATATAATTTGTATGGCTTTGCTCTCAACAATAGACTTTGGGTGATGAACAATATTAAAGTTAAAAACAATTGCAGTAGTGCAAAAATTTAAATAAACAGCAGCTGAGAAAATAAATCCATAATCACTCATACAAACAAACAAATGAGTCCTTGCATACATTTGTAGCAACTGGCCCAGAGACAGAGCGGGGCTTTTAGGGGCTTATAAAAGATCAGCAGAATATTGAAGATCATTCATGCACTAAGGATACTTGGTTTTAAACTGATGAGGATCTGTCCCAATAGCCAAATGTAGGTATTAGCAGTGGGTAAAAGTATTGGGTCCTCTGACACAGCCCTCCCCAAAGCAGGGGTTTCAGACTCAACCTCTCCCCCTCACCGTTCTGATTTGAATTGGCCAGAAAGGAGACCATTGTTACTCCATTCAACCAGTCCAGAAGAATCCATGGCTGATGGTTTCAGAGAGATCAGTGATAGTCAGGATGTCTGCACTACCCAGAGGTGGTATTCAGTAGGTTCTGACCAGTTCTGGAGAACTGGTAGGGGAAATTTTGAGTAGTTCAGAGAACTGGCAAATACTACCTGTGACTGGAGATTTTACAGTATCCTTCTCCTGCCATGCCTACCAAGCCATGCCCACAGAACTGGTAGTAAAAAAATTTGAATCTCACCACTGGCACCACTCATTTCCTACTTTTGCCACAGGTCACCAATAAGCACCACTACAGGTCCAATCATGATACAGAAAAGATATGAAAGATCAGGGAATTAGTAGACAAAAAATGAAATTAGATGAAATACTACTGGGAACAGATGATAAATTGATAAGGAAAATTTATAGAGTCCTACTGGAATATAAATTAGAGGAGGAACAAGTAAAAGAAATGATGTTGGCATGGGTGAAAGATATTGGACATGGTATTAATTTGGATAAATCGCAAATTCTATCAAAAAGAAATAAAAAATAACATTGGCCACATCGTACAAAGAAAATCTATACAAAATGTTTTATAGGTGGCACATCCCTCCAACAAAATTAGCAATAATGTATCCCATATGATGGAAATGTTCCCAAGAAAATGGATTGTACTACCATATATGGTGGACCTGTAGGAAAGCCTAAGATTTTTGGCATAAAATACAGAGTTGGTTAGAAGAAAAGGGTAGAATCAAACGTGAATATAAACCACAACTCTTTCTATTGGGAATTAACATAGAAAGGTACAATAAAGAAATGACATATCTAACAATACACGTGATTATAGCTGTGAGACTAGTCTATGCTCAAAAATGGAAACTTAAGGAAATTCCAGATGAAGTGGAGATAATTAAAAAAATATGGACATGTGCAGAAATGGATAAACTAACATTGGAATTAAATAAAGATGAATCTGAATATTATAAAGTATGGGGAAAGTGTTACTACTGGATGGGAAAAAGGAAGGACTTAAAATTTAAACTAAAATGAGATAAGGATATTAAAATAACAGACTAGGAGTATAAAGAACTGTTGATATAGATGTATATACTATGTAAATATGTATTATTTGCCATCTGAAATAGCTATGTATGACAGGTGTGTCAGGATGATTATACCACGTTCACTGTTTTTAAATGTTTCCAGATAATCCATTTCCTCTAGAGCAGGGGTCCGCAACCTGTGGGCTGTGGCCCACAATCAGGGTGTGGTCTATTGGCAACTGGTCTGCATGAGTGGTGGGCCGGCATGCGTGCATAGCCCAACTCATGCAAGCAGCAGGCACATGGAGCCTTACTTGCACAAGTGGCAGGCATTGGTGCATGCAGGTCCACTCATGAAACTATGCCCGCAGCACCTGCCCTTCGCACAAAACCATCCCCACTTTCCCCCATGTCAGGCCCCAGCCCGGAAGAGTTGGAGAACACTGCTCTAGAGTCATATTTAATATTTAGCATGGCTTGCTTTAAATGTTTTTAGGTGTTCAGTGTTTACCTTGTCCTTCCAAATAATGATTAGGTTTAAACATAACATTAAGTGGTTAAGTAAGTGGTTTGGTGCAGTGCATGAATTCAGCTGCCATTTGGTAAAGACTTCACAAGTACAATCCCAGATAACAGAATAATAGAATAATAATTAAATCTATCTGGGATTGTACTAGGGATGTACAGAATTTCCCAAATCTAGTTTGCTTTCAATTTGTCATATATTCAAATGACAACCTGTTATCCAAATTTTATGGAAGTATTTAAATTGCTTATTAAAACAATAAGTGCCATATGTGTTATTCTGTTTTGCATGCTTCAACTTTCTTTTAGAAATGGGTAGTGAAATAAACATTAGCAAAGTTGAATTGCACATGTATTGCATGGTGATCTTTTTGGGCAGATCATGCTATTTTGTTTTGCAAAGTAATCTGGTGGATTTTACAATCTAGCAAGAATTTCTAATCTTCTTCTTAGAAATACAATATTTTGAGTTTTACTGTTTTGGAATCCAGCCAATTGGAAATATTCTGATGGAATTTTTCAAGTTAGGTTGGTTTTTTTTCCTGAGCTGAGCACAAAAATATGGTTTCTGTTTCATTCATACCTCAATAGATCAATGTTTGTTGCACAGGAGTAATAAATGTGACTGCTTTAAGATAGGCATGGTGCAGGATGCTTGGGATCCTTGGTATTGTCTGAGCTTGATTGATTGTTTTCTTGCAGACATTTCATTATCAAACCAGATAACATCATCAGTGCTAGAATAGAATGAGGTTTGTGATGCATCCCTTCTAAAAAGGGGACGATGATCAGCTAGTCTCTAACTTTTCCTTTTGGACTGTTATTGAGACAGTCATTGGTGAACAACTATAGAGCATTCTAGGGGAAATAATTTATCTGGACTCTTTTCAAGCAGGATTCAGGTCTGGGCACCCAATGAAGAGGGCACTGTTTTCTTTTCTTGATTAACTTGTCAGACTGTAGGGTGGAGGGCAACCCTTCTGGTCCTTATGGAACTCTCAGGGGCCTCCCATATAATAATACTGTTCTGGACTACTTGTGAGAGTTGAGGATTAGAGGCAATATGTTGCAATGATTCCATTCCTGTCTGAGTATTGTTGATATAACATTTGTCTAGGATTTTAAGCTATGCAATTTGTTGGAACTAACTGAACTTTGTATTACTATCTGTCATTGCATAAATTTATCATTGCATTCCTATCTGTCATGGGGCCCAGTATAGTTTGACATATAATGTGCTATATTAGGGTAGAATGTTCATAATTTTAGTTTTTTAAAAAGGTGTACAAAAGATAATTACCATAATTCACACTTTTTTGTACCTTAATGCAGGCCCAGACTTCTGTTGCATCAAAGGCATCAACTATGAAACCTGCTGAAACAAAGGTATGTATTCTAAAAAAAGATGAACAACTCATTCTTGCAGTGTCCGTATCCAAGTGTGATTTTTTTTTTTAAACAACTCTTATCGTGATGGTTGCAGCTCTTGATAATTTTTCCTAGTTTTTAATAAAGAAAGAAGTTGCTGACTGGTGTTGGGAATAGATAGGAAACTAGTCTATTGCTATTATATTTTGCACAGATTAAAGTAAACTGTTCTTTTGATTTGAGTTCTGCATACCATGTTT